GATTTTCAGATAATGAATCGTTGCTATTTGTATAAGGGTGTTGTTTCATTAAAAGCCCACCAAAAACTGATCCACTATAGGAGCTGAATATATACACGTACACACATATGTATGCGTGTATAAATTGTACAAAAGCTGCATACATAATACAAACCAAGTAGATAAACTAAAAAGCAAAATCAACTGAAAAATAAAAAGTGGAATATCCAAATAATACACCTCCTCACAGTAATACCTTTAAAGGAAACTAGTACTTTGTCATAACAAAGTGAAAATAAACAATTTCATTAACCAGCGAATACGAGTACATACGAATATGTACGTACGTACATATTACAGTCTTATACTATATACTGTAAATACATACAAATGTTAGTATGTGTACTTGGAAAAGTAAGGTTTAATTTTTGCAGGAAACGTTTGCATTTAAACTTCTAACTTTTCAATCAGATTTTTTAGAAAATTGTTTTTTTTTTTTGTAGGCCATTAAATATTAATAAAATAAACAACAAACAGGTTGGAATTTGCTAAAAAATCGCGTTATTTTTTTGAGATTTTCTTGCGTACAGTGTTTTAATGTTTTAGTTTTAAAAGCGACGTGATGTTGACACCGGCGATGTTAATGTCATCTACATAAATACATACATCTGCCAGCAGCATCATGCTTTTACTGTATTTGGTGCCGCCGCGATTAAGATTGGCGGTCGTATTACGCTTTCCAACATCATATTGAAGAAGTCTCATGAAAATGAGTCGCCTTATCTAAAACCATGTTAGGTCTCGAACAGCTGCTAGAGGTCCTTTCCAATTTGGACGGACATGAAGGTTGTACTCAATCTCACTCTACATAACCGTATTAGTTACGCAGGTATCCCAGATAAGACGTAACATCGTAGAGGCATCTTCTCTTCGTGGTGTGACGAAAAAAAGAAAAATCTGATCAAAAGCAAATTTGACAATATGTCCAATCAGTTGGTTAAGTCTTATTTGCAGGAACTAGACCCGGTGTTGAAAGTCGATTGCGGAACTTCTCGGATGTGTATTGCGACTGGAGCTCTACGATGTAGAACTTCCGTCGCCTTGCCTGACGCACAGATACGTACAGTGACGAGCAAAACTGTAACATGGTTTAACACTTTTTGTTTCAGCCACCGCTATATTTCCAAGTTCTAACGACTTTCATACTTTTGCTGTATATTCTTGTTGGTACATCCCTACTCCCTCTCTCAAAATGATTTTAAGTCAATACAACAACAATAAAAAACCAGCAGACAAAAATGTAAATTAAGACAGATGTTACAGTTTTGCATTTGACAGTTATCTTTTACTTAGTTGGAAGTCAGATGACTTTTCTATATTGTAATTTATTGAAGAAGTGATCACCAGTAAATAATATAGTTAATCAGGACCCATAAATGTAAACAATAGATTTACTGCGGAAAGGCGGAACCGCACGAAAAGTGGCAAACATTTTGGAATTTGCTACTTAAAAATGTTAAGACTTAGAAAAAATATAGCCTAAAGTGTTCCCAAGGACAGAGGAAGTCTGTTAAAAAATATTACGGTACGATATCTTGTGAACTTAGAAGCAAGTAGCGATGCAGCCTCTATTACAGAAGCGCTTAAAGCCCTGTATGCAGCTCTCAAGAAAACGGTCAAGAAAAAATTGCCATTATTTCGCGTGTGTGTCCAAGGAATTTTGACATTTTTGATACTTCACAGCCTGTTGCCTCACTCTTTCCTCAAGGAATAATGGAACGGGCATATATTTCTGTTGCAAACCTGGGTTGCCTTGTGCTCTTTTTTCACAAAAAACTTTAGAAAACCGTGGTAGAAAGCGTAGTAAATTTCTTAAGAACTGCATACTGCCTTAAGGAAATTTGACTCAAGAAAATTTCTTAGCCATTTCTTGTACGTCATTTTATATGGAGTTTTTGCTTTTCTTGAGAGCTGCATACAGGCCTTAAGGTATTAAACTTTAATGCAAATCAATAGACAGCGAGGCGAAGAATTGCCAAATTGAGCGCAAAGGCATCACAAAGAAGAAAAAAGCAAATTTGATCATAATATATGTGCGAGTGTGGCAGCATTTCGCTGCATCGCACGAAAACCGAACCGTTGCCTATTGGGATATGTTAGGCCGTTCAGAATGCAATAAAAAACATATTTTTAAGTTTCAATTGAAGGTTATTTGGTCTGAGAAGACTAAATTAATCGCTTTCAATCAGATGGCCGGGCATGGTATTGGATCAAAGACCCAAATTAAACCCATGCGCATCATATAAGGAAAACTGTGAATCACAGTGGTCGGTCAATAATAGTTTGGGGTTGTATTTAAAAAATTTTGTTTTCCCGTTAGTACGTATTATGCGTAAGGAACAGTATCTGTTCATATTTCAACAAAAATTGCAATATGTAGTCGAAAAAATGAGAGTTTCTGCTGAAAAATCACTCAAAACACACTGCGCATGTTCGCAAAGCCTGGATACAAAAGCAAAACTTTGCTAATTTGAAATGACCTCCACAAACCGCGGACATTAATCTCATCGACAATTTGCGAAATCAACTAAAAGCACAGCTTAATAAGTATCAAAGTCCGTAAAATCGAGTACATGAGCTGTGAAAGCAAACTAAGGATATACCTCCAGAATTTTTACAAAGATACAAATTAGGTATGCCAAATCACATCCAGGAACTGAAACAGGCAAAAGAGTACTGAACATTGTGTTAGTAGTTCTTTTTTTTCGTGAAAATTGTTAAAAAGCTCTGAAAAATAGATGAGTGCAAAACTGTAACATTTGCCTTAACTTACATTTTTGTCTCCAGGTTTTTTTATTGTTGTTGGATTGACCTCAAATCGTTATGAGAGCGGGAGTAGGAGTGTACCAATAAGAATATACAACAAAAGTATGAAAGTCGTTAGAACTTGGAAATATAGCGGTGGCTGAAACAAAAAGTGTTAAACCATGTTACAGTTTTGCTCGTCACTGTATGTGGACTTTGGTTGGTGATCCGAGTCGATGTTGGCTTCTTGGATGGAATGTACGTCAATCACAACGTAATACTATTTTTTTTTCCTCTCTTAAAGAAGAGGACATGCCGCAGCGAAGTCGGTAAGCCTCAGTCCGTTATCGTAGGTGTTGTAATGAAGACTGAATTTCGGAAGGTCCGGACATTCCAGGTGCCTATCCGTAAATCTAGCAGTTGTTTCTTTTGTGAGGGTTGGCAACCTTTTCGGGGTAATTATTTATTTGAAACTTCTCTGGTTTATCTAATAGACTATGTTTTTATATAGCGGATCTCAAACCCAGCGCACAAAATACTTCCGGAGGGTTTTTAAAGATTTAAATTCATCAAAGGTCTTTATTGAAAAATTTTCAAAAACATTATCAGTTTTATGTCCTAAGTTACTTGTTTCACCAGCAGAAGATGTTGATTCTGCCATTTAGACCTGATATAAACAATTTCTGAAGTTACTGAAATTCACAGAAGAGGTCCAAGTAACACTGTTGTGCATACGATTTTGAGTTCAACATCTTTGTTGAAAAATTCAGCTCAAGTAATGCGTTTTGTGTTTCATACCTTTTTTTACACGATTGAACGTGAGAATAAACAAGCAAAAAACAAAACCGACTTCATAAATTCTCATATTGAAGTTTAAGAGCACCAATAGTTTCTTCATGATCCAACGATCGGATCTGAACCAAATTAGTATGGGACCACCGTATTCGTTTGGAGACCACACAGCGCACTTTTTATAAAAATAACAAAACGTTTTTCTTAAGTATGCTCTTCGGTCGCTGAAATTTGAAAGTCCTGTTCCTTCATACGCTTCGCGTCTCAAGCTGATAAACTTACAATCTTTAGAAAGCCGGAGATCTATCTTTTCCTTAACCTTTACATTTAATGTTATACAAGGTGTCGTCGATTGTCCTTATTTCTTGGGACGGATAAGCTTCAATGTACCCAGACCGAGTCGCTTATCTATTTTACTTAGCAAAAGTCAAGACAAGATTTGCCGGTAATGATCTCCCTTGGCGAGATCTATGCGAGAACTTAATATATTATCGGAAAGAATCGTAATTGATTTCTCTATGACAAAACAAGCTTTTTCAAATCTCCTTCACAATACTTTGTAATGTTAATATTGTACTGGCATTAGCAAAACCATTTCTGTCTGTAAGAAATATTGTTTCATAGACTAAAAAAATTAATAACTAAAAGGACATAACGAAATCTTCAACAAAAAAAATACCAAACATTAACGGTAAGTCCTAGTGTCTTAATCAAACTTGCACTTATTATATTAAAATTGAATGGACTACAAAGGTTGTTTTCTTTATTTGTTATATTTAATTGTTTATTTAAAAAATTCTTATTTTTGCGCGCGATAACTCAAAAATGAAGGGGGCTAAAAATTATTTTTAACTTATAATTTAATTTATTAATTCTGAAATATATATGTATGTTAAATGCTTTAACTTAAGTCTAAAATAAACTAAGTACCGTTTCCTAAATTAGTTTTCATAATTTATCCGCCCTTTAAACCCAAATTTTGTTCTCAAAAAATGTGTTGAAAGGCAAATAAATATGTATTAAAAGTTACTTGAGAAAACGGCAATAGATCTATTTACATATGCCAACGAAGAAAACTAGCTTCTTGACTTTATGCTTCGAGCATCCGACTTCAATCTTTTGCATTTATCTAAATGAAAAACCCTTTTTTACAATTTATTTTTAGTTATCATCCCACACACACCGAAAGTGTTCCCATATACCGCTTTTGACTCATTCGTACTGTTCCCATGGTACATTTTTCGATCATTGAGCGCAGCATCGTGCCGCTCTGCTCGAACCTCACTCAGCCGGCGCGCCCTAACAAACTGTGCGAGCGAGCCAACGCTATGCGCCGCTGCACGAAACCCACACGAAAACAACAAATGCAATGTCGTTCCCGAAGAAAATATTCAAGCGATCGCTTGAAAGCAAATTTTTCATATCGTGCCTTTTCAGTTTTGTTCTTGGAGTCATCGCGTTTAGTTAATTTTAAAATTGCAATTCGCGTTCAGTGGAAAACTTTCAGAGTGCCTAAATAGAAAATCACAAAAACAAATTTGTAAATTCATTCTTTTGGAATTTCGCATCGCGACAAAGAAGTGTCTAGCGTTTAACTAAATCCAAATGTATGAACAATGAACTGTTTTCTACAAAAAAAAAAATAAATAAATCGATAAAAGTGATCAGTGTCTGAAAGCCAAACACAATTGCAGAGGTGCTTAGGAATTCCACATTTTTCACTTTGAAAGGGCAGAATGGAGGCAAAAATTGTTGGGGAAAACAACAATGCTGTCGCAGGCGTCGCCGTCGTCTCCATTCATTCCAAACGGCATCACGAAGCGACTGCGCTGTCCGACTTATGAAAATTCAGTATAGTTTTTGAGTTCTAAAAATGCTCCATGGAAATCTTTAGTGCTGTACATTGAGTGAATTTGGGCGGGGAACATTGTTCACAAGTCTGATTTTCCACTTCCGTTTGGTGTATTTATAGTTTATGTGAATATTTTTAGAAATTTATTTACTACTCTCGTTTGGAAAAGCGACGCAAGGCAAGTCGTTGAAGCAGAAGTAGAAACAAAGGCGTACAACGAAACGAGAATTTAATCTGTTTGACATTCCGTTTTCATCTCGTTTATCCGCTTTGTCAGCATATGCGCGATGAGAATGTGTGCGTATGTACATCCATATGTGTGTAAATATGTGCATAGCAAACAGGCAAAGTGTGGATTGAGCGATGCCTACCCAAACGAACTATTAAACAAAGCGGAATTCGAAAAATCAGGCAAAAACAAAAATAAAGAACAAAAAAAGCGACAAGTTAACGTTGACTGCGAAGCCAGCGTGATCAGCGGCGGCTTCGCTCGCATTCAAAACAGGAGCTGATCGCAAAAAAAAAATAGCAGGCGGTTGAGCGACGATAAGCGGCGAAAAGTAAAGAAATACGATCAACTGTGCTCAAATTGCTTGAATGTTGCGTCAAAAGTACAAAAACAAAACGAATTACGATCTGGAATTCAACAAAATGTCAAGTTTCAAGTTTTCATCCGCCAATCTATTGCACCCCGATGTCGCTATTCTTTCCCTGATTCTGTCCGTTTTCCACCTTGAGCCCCCAGCGCGCTTTTGGCATTCCATGTAAAAATTTGCCCTTTTTGCAATTGCTGCAATTTGAGTACTTTTTCTCTTGCATTACGCGCCCACATTCGCAGTTTGTCTTTTAATATCATCATTCGTTCCGTTCTGTAATGTTTTTTCGCATTCTCCTGCACGACGATCGTGTTTTGCATATGAAGTGAGATTTTACTTTAGTTTTTGAGTACATACCTACTCACACTGTTGCCAACTTTGTGCTTTTCGCACTAAATTTAGTGCTTTTCTTAATTCAAAACGCGAAAATTTTTGATTTTGGTGCTCGGTGCGTTTTTTGGTGCTTCTTTTTAGTTTGAAGACACCAAAACTGTAAATCTGAAACAAAAATAGAGGTTGAGTTTAGAGCAAGGAACTTACAAAAATGGAAACTAAAACATGGTACAATGCCAATCATAAGCGAAAGAGCAAATGTTTGACAAAAAAATATGTGGCATCACTTTCAATCATGCCAGAGCTGAATACGGTAGTTTGCCATTCCCTGCAAAAACGTCGCATGTTGCTGGGACCAGAAATTGATCTTGAGACCTTTAATTTTGGCTGAATTTGTTATATTTTTTATGAGTAGTAAAAAAAGCACCAGCATCTCCTAACAGTGAAAGGAATAACGAACCTTCGACCGGCGGGCAAAAAACATCAATTTTTATTAACAATAAAATTTTGTAGGTACTCAAAGTCCATTAAATCCTCGAATAAAAAATTTGGCGTTTTTTTTCGAGAAAAAACGCGATTCTTGGGTTTTAGTGCTTTTACAAATTGAAAGCTTGGCAACACTGCCTACTCACCTCACGGCATTGATTTATTAATTTATGTATTTCTGGTGTACAAATGAACGTATTCAATGGTTTCAGAAATAAATACATTTAACCTTCAGTAAATTTTAACTTTTATCGCTTGGAATTTCTCAGGTTGATCTGTTCCCCTATGTGGAATGGATGATCTTTAAATTGCACGTATCCAGCCATCTACCACTTCCCCACCGGAATCGTCATCCTCTGCAACTGTTTTGATTTCAGTCAACACTGTAATTTGCCAAGGGACATGCAGGGAAATACTACCTACTTCAATTAATTATTTTTTTTTTTCAATATTGCAGTAAACTAGGTAAACGTACCACAATCACAACAGACAAGTACGCATACATTGCTGAGTATTTGAATACATTGAGAATAAAACTATTGCGAATCCGACATATTGAGTGCAAAAACATATTGAGTGAAAAGTTACCTTAAAACGCTCATATTTTACAAAAAAGTGTGCAATAATTTGAAATCAAAAACCAGATCGAGTTAAAAACCTCAAGAACCTTATAAGTTAAGTGTGGCTACTGAATTTTTTCAAGCCATCTGAAATCTAACATAAGGATCGCAAATTAAATAAGTTCAAACTTTTTTTGTAATAAAAATCAGAAACCAGCTTCAAAATGAGTCTGTGCGATGCTAACGTCCTTACCATTCAACCTACGCCCCAACAACAACATCAAAGTACACAAAGCATAGCCGATTATTTGGCCCAATTGCTGAAGGATCGCAAACAAATGGCAGCATTTCCAAATGTCTTTAATCATGTTGAACGTCTTCTCGATGAAGGTATGTATGTAAAAATTGAGGAATAAGTTTATATCTGGGACTATAACTATTTGGAACTTTATATGTACCTACATAATAAAAATTATTCATATAATTTTTTGAACAAATTAGATACAACCGTTATTTTCAGATACCTTTTTTTCGACAGCAAATGATCCTCGGGTCTATAAAAACGCGGGTATGATCGAAAAAATCTCAGTTCTCGTGCCAAGAAAAGTCCTCGAATAGCGGATCTTTTTGACGGAGCAAAACAAAAAAAAAACGCTAAATAGCTAGGTATCAAATATGAATATTGTTCTACACTGATTTAAAAATGCGAATCTTCCAAATATGTACTTATGTACATATTTCTGCTTTGCAAATGAGTAAATTCACCTACATACAGTCAGAGTCAAAAATATGCGTAGCCTCACGATTTTGGCGATTTTACTTATTTATGCTTTCAAAACAAAATTTTCTAATGTTTTATAAACGGCAAAATCGACAACGATAATATTTTTTTTTTAATTTTCATAGAAATCCTAATTTTCCAACTCGATTTCTTAAAATGAATATTATCGAGGATTTTGCCTGTTTTCTTCCTTAAAAGCAAGAACTAATTTTTTTTATATGATTGAAGGTACCGCGAAAAAATTCTCAAAGATCAACGGTAAATTTGGTATGAAAGGTATAAATAAATAAACTCCTCAAAACGTCAGGGTGAGCATATTTTTGACAATGACTGTATGAACATGCATATGTAAATATTTAAGCCGATTTACATAAAAAACTGGATGGGAGTTTAGGCTAATGCTGTTGAAGTGTCAATTTTTGCCAGAAATAAATCTATGTTTCGGCTAATAAAAATTTCCGATCTAAAACAGCCAAAATATTTTTTTTATAAGTATCTCTTTAAGATCCTATTCCCGTACATACATATCGATAGCTTACAATGCAAAGTTGCAAAGTCCATTTTTTTAATTTTACAGGAGAGGCAAAAAAAATCGTATAGCCATTTTTTCAAGTATTTCGCAAATCTTTTAATACAACATTTTGCGTTGCTTGAAGCAAAGCAAAACTCTATACGAATAAGAAGGGTTCTATTTTTATTAAAAGATTTATTATTTTGGCTTTGTCGGATTTTCGGTGCCTCTTTTGGACTTAGCATATTTGCCATTCATTGAATATAAGCCAGAAAAAAATATGAACCTCAATCCTTTCCGAAGCGATGTATTTTTAATATTATTAAATTATGAGTTAATAGAAAGTGGGCGTAGCAATTTTTCATTCTAAGCTAGCGATATGTAAATTACCTTCTTCGATCAGTTAATTCAAACTAAGTTAAAATATATTCAAATAAAAAAATTCCCTTAATATATCGAGAATATGAATAAGTAAAATGAGCAATTCCAAGCAAAAGCTTAAACTTTTCGGCCCTGATGATCAGGAAGCTAAAACTAGATATTGGCAGAGATCTCACAGCAGAAGTTCCCACCACCAACCTTTCCGTCAAGCTTCGACCCTTGCGCCAACTTAACCCAATCATCCATTGAGGAAATTATTGTGGGGCATAATTTGCTTGTGCGTAATTTCTGAGTTATCTGTGTAGTCATGAACGAAATCGAAACGCCCAAAAATTTTAAGGTGTCCTGACGCTGAGCATGCTAGGCATCCTGCTTTCTTGAGCTTGATTGTAACCAGTAAGCAATGTCAACCGTCATTATGTGCAGCACGGCGTTAAACGTCAGAGTGGAAGTTGTCCGCAAGGTAGACGTCTCGGCGCACTCATTAAAAACTGGAATTTCAAAATGTCGATGTCTTCCCATATTCTTCACAGTTCAAAGAATTTTTATGACCATTAAATAGTATCGATTCTTTGAACATTCTCTGTACATTTACAGTACATATTTGCAACAAAATACTAAAATTATGGCATATGAATATTGTAACTACGCGTTGCTATGCCAGACTATAAAAAAAAACTAATGAATCACTAAAAATGTATCCTTAGTATTTTTTTTTTAGTTTTACCAACCCACGTAAGATAGATTACTGTTATGCAGAGCTGCATGCCGAAGTTTAAATTTCTGTCCCTCTGAATTAGTTTTTATATTCTGGACAATAGCAAATGCTCGTCATCCCCACTTAAAAAATTGAGTCGTCACAATCCATTTGGTATACAATTTGGGCTATCTTTTTTGCCTCTTTGCTGCGATCTTACCCTACAATTTCACGTGGCCAGCTATTTAACAGTTTAATTAGCAGCTTTTTATATGCGAAAATGAGATCGGCAAAAGCAACACCAATTTTTTAAGGTACATAAAGATCGCCTTTTATTGCGTTTACATTTTGTTTCTTCTCGATTTACTGTTACGCGGCCAGAAGGAGTCGATGATCTTTCTAAGTAAACGTGTTTTCAAAAACAAACAAAAAGCTCTATAACCCCAGCGTGGTCAAAGACTAAAAGAAAAGAAAAATTTAACGTAAGCACGAGATAAATACAACATAGTGGAAATGTAGAAAGCCAGGTTAAAGTGATTAAAAATAATGTTCGTACCAACTACTACTTACTCGCGTTTTCGTCTTCCCTTTTTGTGTTGCCTTTGCTTTTGGGGTCTCTCAATAAACAACTTCAACGAGCCGCCAGTTCAATCCACCTTAATCGCTTTTTTTGCTTTGTTTCTCCCCCACCTTCTTTGTATTTACTTGCTTATGAAATTCTTTTCCTTCATCTTCTTATGCTTCAATTTCTTCATGCATCTCCCCAGCGTACAGCCCATTTTGGGATGACGTCTGTTTTCTTGCCACCGAATGCTCACGTTTTTAATGCACTGCTGCGGCTGTTTATCTGCGCCAGCAGCGTATTCTGAATGTTCGCTTTGTTGCATTGCCCTTGCACTCAAGTGTACTTGTGTGCATGCTTGTATGGATCTTGGCATGTGCTTGAGCCGCTGCATCTCCAGACAACGTACCCTCGAAGGCGCTGTATAATGCCATTGGAATGTTTACTTGTCTTATTTCCCGTTCAGTTGCCTTTTATGCGTATGTATTTATTTAATTTCTTCGTTATGTTTTTTTTCTCTTCAATGCATTTATGATAATTCGATGCACAGTCGCGCAGCCTGGCATGGGGTAAAGTGAAAATACCGGCGGGATAATGGTGACGAGTGCTCTGCTGCCCACTTGACTTTAGCTCATTTACGCACAAAATTGTTGCATTATTTCTTTGCAACGTGAGTTGTCAATTTTTCAGTCAGTCAGTGAAATAGTATAGTATAAGGGAGAAGATATTTTGTGTAATTGGAAGATGACTTCTGCAATGTAAACACTTTTTGAATTGAAAATAAATATTTTCCGCCGAAATATGCACACTTTGTTTACTTTGCGAATGCTTATAAAATGTGGGGAATAACCGCATTTTTTGTTAATTTCAGCAATTAATTTTAACGCATAGGAGCAAGTCATCACTCCGATTTCGCATTCGCTTATTTAATATTCTTAGTTTGCATTTCTTCTGTAAAATCGCTAGCAAGAACATTTCAGCATTAAGTACAAAGTTATTAAAGGGGGCTACACAAAAGGGCACACTTTTTCTTCGATATTTGTTGTAAGAGCTTAATTAGCATTTATTCAGGTCATCTAAAAAGTGAATAAAACTAATTAACTCATTTTGAGGACAGTAAATACAAAAGAGTTACAGCTAAAAATTTTTCAAAATTGAATTTATCATAGGGGTCATTCCATGTAAAAGAGGAAAACGATGTGAGTAAATTTTCAAATTCATTATTTTGCAGTTTCCCCGTACGAATCATTAATCTGTTGAAAAGAATTAATAAAATAAAAAATAAATGTTATTCTTGTTTATAGAAATTTTCACTTCATACATACATATGTATGTAATTACTTTACACCAGTCACAAGGAACTTTCCCAGCAGCCACAGTTTTAATATTTTTTAATGTTCCTATATATTTTACTACACAAAAAAAACATGTCTTGAAAATTAACAGCCAAATTCACAAAAAATAAAATTGGCCTTTGGCAGCACAAAGGTAAAATACTTAGATGGATTTTTAGAAACTGTATGGTATTTTTTTAAAAGGAATTTTATGCCCTGGCTATTTACCTATGTTAAAAAATATATTTCATTTTTGTGCAAGCTCCGAAGACGTAGTTATTCACAGTTGATCATATTATGGTGTCAAATGTCCCACCAGTCACAATAGAAATATTATTTACGTCTCTTTTACAGTTTATGATAAAAAACAGCTACATATCGCTCATTTACTGTCATAGAAATCAAATAATGCATAATATTTTGCTAAAATCTTTTCACAAAAACTTTTTTCAAAACTGCGTTTTTCACAGATTTTGGTAGGAGATATTAGAATAAACCTTAAGTACAAATTTTAAAGTGTTAAAACCAAAAATAGCGAAGTTACATGTAACCTTTTAAAAAGACAGGTAGGCTCTCTTTATAATGTTTTTTGTTTCCCCTGTAAAATCAAACATTTTTTGGCTGTGGCCTTTGTGAATTAAGCTAACGATATTCATCTCTTTTGCCTACATTTTGGGAGCAAATTGAAAACTCTTAAGATATCTTCTGAAAAAATCAAGGTTTTTGAGTTGTTGATGCTTTTTCCAGATCAACAATTTATTGGCTCTCATGCAATTTTCTAATTTTTGGTTTTGCTATTGTTCTTTATTTAGTGCGCGATTTTTTGACCACAATAATGCACAATTTCAGAAATCCAATGAATAAGGAATGCAAGCCTGAACATTTTTCCTGTTTTCCTCACTCAAATAAGCATTTCTTCGGACACAATTCGATACCTCTCTGAAGCTGGCAGGACAACTTTTTCGCAAAGCAAAAATTCCTTGCGAATAATTTGCCGTTAATTATCCGTAGATTACGGCAAATTATCCGACAGGAATTTTTGCTTTGGGAAAAAGTTGTCCTGCCAACTTCAGAGAGGTCAATTTGATAGAGAGCGCTACCAAATTTTTTGTTTAACATTTTCA